ATACGATTAGTTTACTATTTTTCTTGCACTTTTTAATGTTTTTTGTATATTCAATGATTAATAGAAAACAAAATTGCTTAGATGTTCTATTAACTTCTTGTTGTGTTATCATCTCTACATCTCTCTGAATGTATATTTGTAACTTAACCCGTGTCTTCCTCTCTCTGTAGTCTTTATTGAGTGAGTGTACCAGATTTCGAAATGAAGATGTTCCCCCAAAACAACACGAGAAACAGAAGCTTTCTCATATGTATCGAGAATTGCAGGTAAAAAAAACTGTTTGTTTTAGAGCAAAGCCACATTAGGCTATCTCTTGTGTCCAGTGTGGGGATTTGAACCCCGGATTTTAGGGATATAAGTCTGTAGTGAAAACTATTTGTGCTCTTAGTTCACAGTTGTAAGTGTTAGAAATACATAGGAATGTAAACAAAGTATATATGAAGGGAATGAAAACAGGGAAAATAGAAACTGTATACAATATTTGTAAGAAGCAAAAGATTTTTAAATATTTAGAACTTGAGGAAACATAGAAAAGTAAAGAGTATATAAACACTTATTAAAATCAGCCATAAAGTTTTTAACAATCGTGTTTTAAATTTGTACTTCAGAAGATATTTAGGGATTCAGGACATCTGGATATAGAGCCCGAACTTCAGAGTGATTCCCTTGAGAGGGATTGGGATCGGCTGTTGTCTACTATTGAAGAACGTGACCTGGCAATTCGTGATGAAATCAGCCGGTTAGTAGTGTTCATTTTCATTCGTTATATCATTATCTTGGTATAAACAATGGAATTAAAATTTATGGTATTCTATAAAAAAAAAAAATATATTTAGGAGGAAAAGTAAATTTACAAAAATGATATTAATTTGATTCTATTGTATATAATTACTTCAAACTTCAGCCTGATAAGCAAAATAAATAACAGATTTTTCATATAAAGATATTCTACTGGTGGCATTCAAGTGTTCATAAAGGTCTTTATGTTAGAAAGCCTCAAAGTTAAAGTCTTTGAAAAATAAAACTATTTGTATGTTTCTCTGAATTTTTTACAAATCTGTAGTCCAGAGCATGTAAGTATAATTTAAAAGCTATGTATATGTATTTTTCAGTTCTTGTCCTAAGTTTATAATTTGATGAATTACCTTTTTTTGGCTTAATCCAGATTAGAGAAACTGCAACGCCTTGCGGAGAAAGTACACAGGCAAACAAAGCAATGTGAAGGTCGACTTAACGAAATGGAAACAAAATTATCAGAGGTTAGTTATTATTATAATTGGTATTATTTAATCAAATTTCAGAAGCTCTTTATTATAATCAGTTTCTTTGATATTTTTGTGTAATTACAAAAATACAATATACCAAAATTTATTAGTTTTTATTTTAACATTTCTAAGTTAATTAATATACTGACAATCATTTAGTATTTAATTATTGTTATTTATCTTAGAAATGTTATCAAAGTCATTTATTATCAGTTTGTAGTTAAAAATTTCTAAAGTAAATAACACCGTACCACAAGTATCAGCTTTTATCTTAACATTTCTAAGACGATTAACAATATACCAACGGTTAGTTATTGTCATTTTTCTTTTGTGAAGGTTTTGAAATAAACAAGGATATTAGGGGTTAATTATTATTAATTTACTTCATGTCTGAAGGAAACTAAATTAGCAGAGGTTATTGAATTTCCTTCTGTGTAATGTCATAAAGGTGAAAGGGTATCAGAGTTTGTTACAATCTGTTTTCATTTCTGGTAATATTTGAACAAACTGATTGAGTTTTTCCTATAGTTCAGTTGTTTTTTTATGACGTACAGTATATGTCTGATATTTTAACACCTCACATATTACTTATATAAAATATAAATCTGGTAGACTGATGGAGAGGTTTCTTGATTTACAGGAAGAGAAAAGGATACAGCGATTGGAGCCTTCCGAAGCAAAGCATATCTGTGAGGAGCTAGAACAGGAACTTAAAAGCATAGAAAGCAGTATCAAGACTTTGTTTCAAGATGTGCAAACTTTACGAGATGGTCGCTACCACCAGGCACCAGAGTTGCACAGACGGTGAGACATTACTTTATAAGTAGTAAATAACTTCCTTCTCGTGCACGATAACTTTTTATTACTCTAACCTAGAGGAACTCGACATCAGTGATCAGTGGCCAACAGTTTAAGTACTGTATAGAGAAATCATGTTTCCATATTCTTATAGATTGAAGTATCTTTCAGCATAGGCATTTTGTAATTGAGAAAATGTTATATATATATATTTTCAGTACATCACTGATTACATTCTGAACTATTTACTATTCATTATTAGTCATTAGTACATGAAGTAAAATTTTGATTACGTTGGACTTCAGTGATTATTAGAGAGGTAAAGATAAGATATTGGTGTGTATGTTATTGTTGACCAAACATTTATTGGAGTTACTTTTTTTCCTCTTGTTTATTGTTGCATGTTTGTTTTGTTAGTGAAAAGTACTATGTTTCTCTGACACAACATGTGATTAATATTTATATTCAACATACGTTTTGTGATATCAGTGTACAGAACCTCCACCAGAGATGGTCCAACATACACGTCCAGTTTACAACACGTATCATGGTCACCCTTCAGAAAATGAAGAAAGCCAAACCACTGACAGAAAAACAATTGGTTGAAACCAATGAAGCTTTTAAGTTTCTTCAAGACTGTATCGAGTGGGTCAGTTCTAAGCTTGTAAGTACAGATTCAAAATCTAAATTGTACATTTATTGATGCATATTGATGGATCCTTTTACTACTCTTTGCTGTGTGTTGCTTAAAATAAGTTATCAGTATTCATAATACGTGTGTTTTGTTCTTTTAGAAATTTATAGAAGAAGCCAACTTCGGAAATGACCTAGCAAGTGTCAAGTCACTATTAGAGCAGCATCAGACAGAACATAGAACAATTGATCAGTTTCAGAAGAACGTAGATCAGTGTGGTATGAGAAAGGTAAGGTGTCTCGTATCTTAAATCTGATTGGTCAATTTACGAACTATGCCAGTTGACATTGTTACCTTATCATATATTATTTTATCCTCTGAAAGTTGATCAATATCAAAACTACAGACTCTATATAGATGAAAATTTGTATGATAATTATATATCAAAACTACAGACTATATAGATGAAGATTTGTATGATAATTATATATTAAAACTACAGACTATATAGATGAACATTTGTATGATAATTATATATCAAAACTACAGACTCTATATAGATGAACATTTGTATCATAATTATATATCAAAACTACAGACTATATAGATGAACATTTGTATCGTAATTATATATCAAAACTACAGACTCTATATAGATGAACATTTGTATCATAATTATATATCAAAACTACAGACTATATATAGATGAACATATGTATGATAATTATATATCAAAACTACAGACTCTATATAGATGAACATTTGTATCATAATTATATATCAAAACTACAGACTATAT